TATGCAATGGAATATATATCTTTTGGCAATCAAAAAGAATAAAATCTTTCCATTTGCAACAAGGTGTATTATGCTAAGTGAAATAAGTCAGAGAAACACAAATATCATATGATTTCACTCATATATGGAATTTAAGAAGCAAAACAGATGAACATAGGGGAAGGGAAGGAAAAATGAGATGAAAACAGAGAGGGAGGCAAACCATAAGAGACTTAAATACAGAGGACAAACAGGATTTCTGGAGGGGAGGTGGTTGGGGGACGAGCTAAATGGGTGATGGGCATTACGGAGGGCACTTGTTGGGATGAGCACTGGGTGTTATATGTAAGTGATGAATCACTGGGTTCTACTCCTAAAACCAATACTACACTATATGTTAGCTAATGGGAATTTAAATAAATCAAATTTGTTTATTAAAATTTTTTAAAAAAATAATGAAATAACATGTCCAAGGGAAGAAACGTTTACCTTCTGCTGTGGAAATGTGGACTCCATCATGGCTGTTTCAAAGCTGTGAGCACCATCTGCCTGGGTCTTCTCCCACAGATCTCTGAGGAATTGTACAGAATGACTCTGTATAGACAGTGGCTCAGGAAACAGGCTCTGAAAGGCATTAATGAGAAAACCATAACATTATCTCTTACCTGAACAATAAAGTTTGATTGATGACAAGGTACCATTTGGGCTTAGTTTGAACTTCAGCATGGTTTAAATTTAAATAAAACAAAGAAATCTATCTTGAAGATCAAACACATGATGCATTTTGGGCTTTTCATTTTTTAATAGAAGATTAAAATTATTGAATAGGACTCCACGGCAGTTGATACTGATCTCTAAATTTGTCCAACCTTTGTAACATAGTGTTACCTTGATCATTTCTCAAACATGGTACTTAATTGGAAAATGGTTAATATAAATATTCATATTTGTTTGTTCAAAGATCTGATAATTATGGCATAAAATTAAAACTAAAGTACAAATATCAAGTCAGTTTATACAGAGTAGATCATGAAGGCTAGAAGTAAAATGACTAAAAGTTCATTATGCAACAGCTCAAACATGAACAGTATGAGTGGGTGGTAGGGGAAACAAAAACACTTTTTTGGGTGTTTTTTTGGGTGTTTAGGGGTGGCTATTCCTAGATCTAATAGTCTAAGTTCTGAAAAATAAGATTATTTATGTAGAGAAAATCACCTTTCTCAACACCCAAAAAACAAATAATCCAGTGAGGAAATGGGCAAAAGACATGAATAGACACTTCTCCAAAGAAGACATCCAGATGGCCAACCAACACATGAAAAAATGCTCAACATCACTCATCATCAGGGAAATACAAATCAAAACCACAATGAGATACCACCTTACACCTCCTATCAGAATGGCTAACATTAACAACGCAGGCAACAACAGATGTTGGCGAGGATGCGGAGAAAGAGGATCTCTTTTGCACTGCTGATGGTAATTCAAACTGGTACAGCCACTCTGGAAAACAGTATGGAGGTTCCTCAAAAAATTAAAAATAGAACTACCATATGACCCAGCAATTGCATTACTAGGTATTTATCCAAGGGATACAGGTATGCTGCTTTGAAGGGGCACATGCACACCCCATGTTTATAGCAGCACTATCAGCAATAGCCAAAGTATGGAAAGAGCCCAAATGTCCACTGATGGATGAATGGATAAAGAAGATGTGGTATACACACACACACACACACACACACACACACACACACACACACACACAATAGAGTATTACTTGGCAGGCAAAAACAATGAAATCTTGCCATTTGCAACTACGTGGATGGAACTAGAGGGTATTATGTTAAGCGAAATTAGTCAGTCAGAGAAAGACAAACACATATAACTTCAGTCATATGAGGACTTTAATACACAGAACAGATGAACACAAGGGAA